ATGGTTCCAGATACCATCAGGTGTTAGATGGCCATATGCTACCGGGGATGGCCAAGATGGCATTATTGGGGCGGCTTTTCATTAAAGGGGAAAATGCCCTTTCCCTTAAGGTACAAACTGAAAAGCCTTACCAAAAGAGGTCCAGATTTGCTGTTTTATTAAATAACTTCAGGTCTGGGTAAATGGGGAAGGGGAAAAAAGGAAACAAAAGTGTAGAGTAAAAGAAAATACAAGAAGGAAGAAAATATGTATGCTCAGGTAAACAGACTGACCGATGGTGGGGGAAAGGGAGAGAGGCAAACCATGAGAGACTCTTGAATTCTGAGAAACAAACTGAGGACTGATGGATGTTGGGGGGAGGGGGGAGATGGGCATGGAGGAGGACACTTGTGGGGATGAGCACTGGCTGTTATATGGAAACCAACTTGACAATAAACTATTTGTAAAAAAAAAAAAAAAAAAAACTGACCGAAAAGGTTAGAAAGAAAAATGCAAACCTAAATTTCTTACTTCACTGCTTTCCCTTTACTCAGAAAGCTAAAAATAGAAAATCTTGAAGTGAAATGTTGGAATTCTGAACACAGGTATTAAAGATCAGAATCGGCAAGACAGGAAAAACAAAATCACCAACTGTGTCGGGTGACAGGAGCACAAAAATAGAGATGAAGACAAAAAAGGGAGACCTGTTTTGATCTAGAGATCTCATTTTGAGTAGATGATTTCCACTCAAACTTTACCAAAATTTTCCCTCTAAAGTGCCAGATACTGTTTAGGTTTTGTGGGTTGTATGGTCTCCTGGAAATTCTGTCACTGCAGTACAAAAGTAGCCATAGACAATACACAGCCAGACAAGCATGGCTGTGTTCCAGTAAATTCTATTTACAACAGTAGGCAGTACCCAGGACTTGCAGGCTGTGGTCTGCATCCTCTACTATAGCCTAGCTGAGAACTAGAAAGACTATGACCATACCTTTCCCAGGGTTTTATGAAAAATAGACTAAACGATGATGAGGGAGAATCACTTGACCTTCAGCAAGAAAGTGGTCTCTAAGATCACTGTGACTGGTTTTAAGAGAGAAGAGCTCTTTGAAAACTAACCTGGACTAATGTTTAAATAAGACCTCATATTATTACAGAGCTTATTTATCATACGGTAATGACATATAATTTTCCTTTCTCCAAGCTTCATCCTTGTTACTATTACTGATTTTTAAATAAAGAAACAATTCTCCACTGGAACTGCTACCCAGAGCAATTAAACAAGAAAAAGAAATAAAAGGCATCCAAATAAGAAAGGAAGAAGTAAACTGTCTCTATTTGCAGATAACATGATACGACCTTCTTTTTCCAAAGTATACATACAAATGGCCAAAAGATATATGAAAAGGTGCTCATATATATATATATATATATATATATATATATATATATACACTTCTAAACACTAACAAGAAACCACCAGAAAGGTAAATAAAATAATCTCATTTCTGTAGTACCAAAAATAATAAAATATTTAGAAATAAATTTAACCAAGGTGAAAAATCTGTACACTGAAAACTGTAAGACAGTGATGAAAGAAATTGAAGAGAGCACAAATAAATGGAAAGATATTGTAAAAATATCTTTACTAGCCAAAACAATCTTGAAAAAGAACAAAGCTGGAGGCATCATATTCCCTGATTAGAAACTGTGTTACAAAGCTATAGTAATCAAAACAGTGTGAAAGTGGCATAAAAACAGACACATAGATCTATGAAACAGAATAGAGAGTCCAGGAATAAACCCACACACATCTGGTCGATTAATTTGTGACAAAGGAGCCAAGGATATACAATAGGGAAATACAATACAGGACTGTATACAATAGGGAAAGGACAGCCTTTTCAATAAATGGTGCTGGGAAACTGGACCACCACCTTATACCTTACACAAAAATCAACTCAAAATGGATTAAAGACTTGAACATAAGACCTAAGACCCTAAAACTCTTACAAGAAAATATAGTGGGTGAGCAACTTGACAGCCAGTCTTGGTGATAATGTTTTGGATTGAACATCAATAGCAACGGTAATAAAAGCAAAAACTAATAAACAAGTGGGACTACATCAAACTAAAAAGCTCTGCACAGAAAAGGAAATCATCAACAAAATACAAAGGTACCTGTGGAGTGAAAGAAAACATTTGCAAACCACATATCCTATAAATGGTTAATATCCAAAATATACAAGAAACTCACACAGTAAACAACAAAAAACCCACAAATAACCCAATTTAAAAAATGGGCAAATGACCTTCTTTTTCCAAAGTATACATACAAATGGCCAACAGATATATGAAAAGGTGCTCAAATTCATTAATCATCATGGCAATAAAATGATCCTTTATTTGTGGGCAGAAACAGGACTATCAGTGTGGAGAGTGGGCAATAATGGGACTCTAATAAAAAGCTATATCAAATCAAAATGATTGAAACAAAGATTAGGAAAATCTTGCAAAAACTGAAACAAAAGAAAAGACCCAATATGTCCTTTCACCTCATCTCCACTCTAGAAAATAAACAAAATAGGGCAAACTAAATAAATCCTGCTTTGTTTTCCTTCCTATTCTTGTTCCCTCAAATATTTTTAAAATTTAAATTAAAATTAGTTAACATATAGTGTAGTATTGGTTTCCAGAGTAGAACACAGTGATTTATCACTTATATTATCACCCAGTGCTCATCCCAGCAGTACCCTCCTTCATGCCTATCACCCATTTAGCCAATTCGCCTCCCACCCCTCCAGCAACCCTCAGTTTGTTCTCTGTATTTAAGAGTCTCTTCTGGTTTGCTACCCTCTCTGTTTTTATCTTATTTTTCCTCCCTTCCCCTATTGTTCTCTGCTTTGTTTCTGAAATTCCACATATGAGTGAAATCATATATTTGTCTATCTCAAACTTACTTCGCATAAAAAACTCAAGTTCCATTCTTGTGGTGGCAAATTTGCACCCTCAATTTTTGACTAAGTTCCTGATGCTCTACTATTGAAGATAAAAAGATCTACGGAAAAAGCATTAAAAACACCTAGTGCAGACATAAAGCATCTACACCAGACTGCTGAAAATTCAAACATAAGTATACTTTCATCACTTTGATACCCTGATTAAAAAGTGGAACTTGAAACCAGTTCAAATCTCACAGCAAGGTTTATCTTCTAATTCTGCAAGCAGAAAGCACATACTATGGAGAATCTCCATTGTGTTTCTTTGTCTCTCACCTCAGATGAGAGACAATATGCTCAATATGCTATGGAGTAACTTGCCCAAATGTGTTGTTCCCACATTTGCTGTTGAATTTTCTCTTTCAGGGCTTTAGGTAATTATAGCAAATGTTAGTTACAGAAATACTTAAATAAAATATCAAACTTCTAATGCAAATCAAAGGATTGATCATTGTAAATGCTCATGGTCACTGAGGTGGTCTGTGTCATAAATACAATAAGAACATCAGCATAAGCTTACTCTAAATAAAAACTTTCTTCTTTTGTTCATATTATATATGTTTTCCTCTATGCTCCATTGAAGATGTAAAATAAACTGATAGAGGAGGTTGAATCACAGAAAGAATGTAGGAAAAAGGCCATTACATTTAAGTGCACATGGCTTAAATCTTTTATAACTGATTTTGTTAAATTATACATCACACTTTCTGTGTGATATAATATGCAAGGTGAAATTCTATGGAGCAAAAAAAGAATTCTTATGGAGAATATATAAAAAGTATAAATAAAATGTTAAATGTTAAAACAAAACTAACATTTAAGAAAATGAAATAGCTAAGCTATTTTGGTAATCTTCAAAAATTTACACTGTAGCATATATTCCCTAGAGCAAAGAACAGCAAGAATATCACAAAATAGAAAATTACTGACCACTTTGTTTCTGGCTTAAAATAAAAGCCAGAAAATAAATAAATATTTCACAATTCTAAAAGTCAGAGAAAAACAAATCTTCAAATACGTGATAGGGCAGAGTTACCTCAAGAGTGAGGCAACTAGAATGAGAAATCCTCTCACTACTCGCAAAGAAAAAGGTCAGGATGCCTTGAACTATCTTTGTAAATCCAAGTCCTACCTGAAGATTTCTTTATAACTTGGAAATCCTGCCCATTTGTTTTTCCTTTTTTTCTTTTCTTTTCTTCTTTTTTGCCTTTTCACTGGATTGATGCTAGGTCAAAGGAAGAGAAATCCATGGGACCAATCTCCGTGATAGCCCTAATTTGGGGGATATATGTGACCAATAGAGAAATATACTAAATGGCATAAACAGAAAGACAATATTATGTAGCAAAGCCTGGTAACTATGGCGAAGGGTAGGGCAATGCCCTGACACTTTTTTTGTTGTTGTTGTTTAACACTCACAATTATTGTGAGTTGCTATGGAATTATATGGAATTGTTATAGCATCTAAGCTATATCATAATATTTTGATTAATTTTGAATGGCATATTCTTAATTCATCTTGTATTTAAAGCAGAAAAAGAAATAAAGCAAAAACGAATCGTTGTTGCTTTGATCTGATTTAATCCAAAAGTAAAACATAATTAGAAAGTGGATTCTACAACTAAGTGCCGAGCACGGCAGGAGACCCATTTTTCTAACACTACAGAATCAAAGCATCTTGATGCACAACTAAGTACATCACACAGCACACTTTATACCATCTCTCTGTGGTTTGTAAAATGCCTATTAAGGAATATGTTCCACTCGTTTCAGCATTGCTACTTTTATTTTTAAATTATTTTTAAAACTACTGTTTAAATTATTTTTAAACCTACCACTACTTTAAATTATTTTAAAGCTAATATTATTAAAGTCACAATTAGAAAAAGCAGAGTTCTAGGGTGCCTGGTTGGCTCAGTCGGTTAAGCATCTGACTTTGGCTCAGGTCATGATGTCATGATCTCATGGACTACGGGTTCGAGTCCCGTGTTGGGTTCTGTGCTGACAGCTCAGAGCTTGGAGCCTGCTTCAGATTCTGTGTCTCCCGCTCTCTCTTTCAAAAATAAACAAACATTAAATTTTTTTTAAAAAGGGAAGAAAAGGCAGTTCTATAGGTGAATTATTTCTTCTTCGAACCATTTAACTCATAAAAAAAGAGAACCATTTAACTCATGTGTAAAAGACATCATGGTTAGAAGAGAGTCCACCTTGCATAGAATGCAGACAGTCTTTAGGGAATGTCGCTCCCACACTAACGAGAAAGAGCCAAACAATCTGTAGGATACAGCTTTTTTGGGCCCATCAGAGTCTAGGTCACAAGACATTCAGGTGAACTGAATTCCAACAGGTAACAAACCTTTCTAAGGAAACACAAGACAGAACCCAAAAGAATCAGTGGTCATCATAAAAGTCAGAGAAGAAGAAAACACCTAAAAATCACAGCAAATTATTAAAGGATGCATGTGGGCTAGTGTGACAGTTTACACAATGCTGGGAACGCCAGACACAGGAAGAGTAGGCACTAACTCACTAGATCTTTCACAGGGGCCGATAAAAACTAATAAAAGAGCAAGAGACCTAAGAGAATCCCATTAGTGGTGCAAAACTGCTCAGTTCTTGGATCCTTCTCTCATGGAGAGCAAAAGCTAGACGCTTCTATGAGAAGGAAGGTGAGGAAACATTCCCAGGGACCAGGAATACTAGGAAAAGCATGCCAGTACCCCAGACCCCACACCAGGTAAAAGGCAGCAGAAGGCCACCACTGGAGACACTGAAGAGTATGAGCAGCGAGGAGAACGACAGTAAAAATAAGACCCACATCCAATTCAACTAGCGACGAGAATGACTCAAAGTGCACACTGCCTGCCTGCCTGCCTGCCTGCCTGCCAGAGGAGAGAGGAGCCCAAGTCTAATGTAAATACTATGTCTTTCAATCTCTGCTGTTCCTTAACACACAATGTCAGGTACTAAATAAGAAATAAAGAATTTCTTTTGATGGCCTTACCAACAGACTGGATACAGCACAGGAAAACAATCAACTTGAAAATAAGGCAGCAGGAATTATCCAAAACGGAACACAGAGAAGATAAAAGAACACAGCGTCCCGTATCTGTGGTGCCACATCAAACATGTATAACTAGACTCTCAGACAGAGATTGAGAAGGGAGGTGGAAGCAATGTCCAAAACAAATTAGAATTTTGCAAAATTAATGAAACAAAACAAACCATGGGCCAAAGAAGCTCAAAGAACTCCAAGCAGGACACACACACACACACACACACACACACACACACACACACACGTAGATTTAGCACAGTCAAGCTGCTGAAAACCACAGCTAAAGAGAAAATCTTGAAGACAGCAGGAAGAAAAGCAAAATCATTTTTAAAATACTGAAACAAAAGCATATTACAATAGCAACAATTTCACATTTGTCATCTCATCATTACAAATAATAAAAACAGGTATAACTGACACTTTCTGAGCACTTGGTACATGTCAGACACTGTTGCTAAGTGTGACAAAAACCTTATGATGTACAATTAACATTTTATTTTACAGATGAAGAAGCGGAGATACAAAGAGGTTACGTACGCTGCTTAGGCTCACACAGCTAGAACCTGTGGAACCAGGGTTCAAACCAGTAGTGTGGCACCAGGGTCCCTACTCTTAATCCCCACACCCCTCTGATTTGGTCAAGCCTCTCACTTCCATCCCATTAGGGTGCCACAAACAACAGTGATTAACATGCCGCCACCACCACCATACACAGCCCGCCCTGTCTGTGCTCTGAAAAGAGAAAGCAACACTGACGTAAGGAAGAACAGAAACTTCCTCTATCGCTACTGGGGTTGGCAGTGAATGTCAGTGTCGTTTTTACAACTCTTTCTGAATTAGATAAATATTTCTCAGCAACAAAAAATCTATTAGGTGAATATATTTTTGTGCTGAATGACACCTATTGTTCTTACAAGGGCACTCCCGTTGAGAACTACTTCTCTCCTTTCTCTCCTTTAAAAGCACAGTGAACATAATCACATTACAGAAGAAGTTATTACTATTTCTAAATGGTCTCTGCTCACAGCAGGCAGTCTCCAGGCTACAGTTTTGTCACAGTGTTATGATTAATTAATTTATTTTTAATAAGTGTTGTATTTTAGAATAACTTCAGATTTACAGCGAAGTTGCAAAGCTACCACAGAGAGCTACCGTATGCCTCTCCTCCAGTTTCCCCCACTGTTAATACTTTACATTCCCACGGCCCATTTGTCACACCCAAGACACCGACATCGTTACAGTGCTACTAACTACACTCCAGACTTGACTCAGAGTTCACTAATTTTCCACTACGGTCCCTTTTCTGTTTCACAATCCAGTTGGCAGCACATTTAGTGGCTGTGTCAGTCTCCTCTGGCCTGTGACAGTTTCTCAGTCTTTCCTTGTTTTTCATGACCTTGATAATTTAGAGGAATACCATCTAGTATTTTTGTAGAATGTGTCTCCGTTTAAGTTTGCCTGGTGTTTTTCTTAGGCCTAGAGCGGGCTGTGGGTTTTTGAAGAGGATACCATAGAGGAGTCACGTCATCTCCTCACAGCAGGGGCACGTGACAGCCACAAGACACTGCTGACATGAAGCCTGATCACTCGGTGAAGGTGGTATGTGGCAGGTTTCTCCGCTGTAAAGTTATTATCCTTCCCTCTCCATTATCTATTCTTTTAGTGTAAATAACTAAATATAGCCCACTCTCAGCAGTACAGATTGAGAGTGAAACTCCAACTTCCTAAAGGAGAAGTATCTACATTTATTACTTGAAATTCTTCTTTAAGAAAGAGTTGTCTCTTCTCCCTGATTTGACTGATTTATGTTGAAGCTGTTGTTTAACAGGAGGTGGGCACAAAAGGGTCATGTAAATGTATTTGCTGAGATTTTACTCTCTCAAAGACAATAGACAAGCCCATAGCCCACTTTTCAGTCCAACTCTACTGAAAAGAAAATTTAAAACATCTTAGTTGAGTAAACAATTTTGCCCAACGCATCTATATAGAAGTAACCTTAGGAAAAGAAGCAAAGTTCATCCGAGGCATACTGTTAATGGAAGAATGTGGAACAGGACTTGGTCTTCACATGTTCAACCAAGGTGTCTCTCTGTCTCTGTCTTTGTCTGTCTGTCTCTCCATCCCTCCCTTTCCACTTCACTCTCTTCCTCCCTCTAAGGTGGAAGGGAGTAGGATGGAAGGAAAAAAAACAAAATGAGTGAAACTAATGTTCTCGTTTCTTATTAGTAACACAAAGATGCCTGGTACTGTCATCTGCTGTTAGAAATTACATCTCTAGGGGCCATGGAAGACATGATAACCAGATATGTTAAAAGACTTTCCAATTATTCTTGGCTAGGCTATAAATAATTTCTCATTTCCCAGATAATCTGTCCCCCATCCAATCAGCTCCCATGAAACTGAACCCCTTGAGCAAGGAGCTCACCTCATTAATTAGTCTGAACACGTCTAAGGAACAGTGATCTATTTGTGCAGTACAAAAAAGGCTCCAAACTTATTTAACGTATTCTAGATCTGCCCAAGAAGAAGGTATTTAAACAATGATCTGTAAAATAGAGTATTCTATTTCTTTTCTTCTTTCTTGGCTCATACTTCCACTGTACATACAACTCTAATGTGTCCTCAATAATCCCAATATTCTACCAATATATGTCTTTATGTTTTCTGTTTTTAACTAAAATCCTCCCTCCCATTTGCTTATTCTAAATGCAGATTTCACCTGAAAGTAAACTTAAAGAAAACTTAAAGACAAGAAACTTAAAGAAAAACTTTAGATTTTAAAAAATACTTTTTCTCTTATTTTCTCACTTGATTTTTATAATAATAAAAACACTATGGTGTGTTATCATTTTACAAATAAAGTAAGGGTAACTTACATGACTGAAGGCCATATCAGTTCTGGCACCCCCAAGGAGGACCCTTTACAGATTCACCACAAATGAAGGTCTGAATTCATCTGGTAGTTTAGCAAATCTCAGTTCCTAAAGGTTCCCAATGAGTTCCTGTTCAACAAATCCAATACATACTTTATGGTCCTCTTATATGACTTCTCCAGATCAGTAACTCCCTTGAAGGACTATCTTCTTCAGCCCTTTTGGCACAACTCTTTATTAATACTATTCCTTTTTTTTTCTAGCTATTTGTTCAACTCCTCCTCCTTCTAAGGCCCTATCCTTCTACACCTAAGTGTTAGGGTCTGTCTGTGGCTTTTCTCTCTCCATGCTACATGTTTTTCTTGGGCCATCCCATCCAAACTCTAAGTTCAACAAACCAATTATACTCTGGTGACTCCCAGAAACACATATCTGGTCCGGAATTTTATTCTCACCTCCAGACTCTTTAGTAAATTGAGCCTATCTTCAAAGTGGATGTAGCCAAAATCAGTCATAATCTTTTTCTCTTTTTAAAAAACCTGCATTTCCCCATTTATGTCCTATACCATCTACTTATATGACCAATCCAGAAATGACAGCCATCCAGGTGCTGTTAGCTCTCACAACAAATCCTCAGATCTCTAAATAGCTGTCAAGTCTGCCTCCTGCTATCCTCGTGACCTCTGATTTAGCTCAGACTACTGATCTACTCTACAATAAGCTTCTGAACACTAATTTCACCCTTTCAATCTACTTTTTGTCTTGCTGCCACAAGATTCTGAAAAACACTAATCAGATCAATTCACCAGCCCCTATCTTCAACAACCAAAACCAAACACTCCTTACCCCCACCCCAGCTGACACGTCATAGGGTGAGTCCAGCCACTTTGGGCATGATTTGAACTAAGCTTACTCTTGCAGCAGCATCTCCTTCCTCCTGGCCTCTGCAACTTCCATCTCAACACTGCAATCTACACTTTCAGTAAATCAAATTCCTGAAGTTTCCTAAGCACATTATGACAGTGTTGTCCAACAGAACTTTATGTGATGATGTAAATGTTCTATGTCCATTCTATATAATACCAGTCATAGGTGGGTAATTGAGAACTTAAAAGGTGGCAAGTGTGACTAAGCCACTAAAGTTTTTATTTTACTCAATTCTAATTAGTTTAAATTTAAAATGTCACATGTAGTTAGTGCCTACCATATTAAATGATGCAGCCCTATGCTCTCTGTATCTTGGGATATGTCCCCCTGTCTAGAATGTTCCTTTCTTTACCCCTTACTCACCGGTATTGGTATCTCCATTTATTACCTGAAATTCTTCTGTAAGAAAGAGTTGTCTCTTCTCCCTAATTTGACTAATTTATGTTGAAGCTATTGTTCAATATAAGGTGGACACAAAAGGGTCACATAAATGAATTTTCTATTCATCTTTCAAGTTTCAACCCAATGACTGTTCTTCTTTGCCCTCAACAACTCCTACAACAGCTTATACAAAAACAAAAACAAAACAAAAAAAAAAGTATGATTCATCATCTTGTGGTCGTTCTTTCAGGAAATATTTACTGAGTGTCTGCTATGTATTAAATGTTGTACAAGCCAGTCATTCACAAAGAGAAAGTCACAATTTTATAAGAATAAATGTATTACTTATTAGGATAGCCACTGTGCAAGATGTGCTACCCTGGAAGTATCTGCCTATACCATTCTCTGAACACTGTTTTACATCTTCATGCTTTTTCTCATGTTTTCCCTTTTGTCTGGCAGTCCTTTATTTGCCTTCAGTACTTGATTAATTCCTTTGTGGTTTAACATTCAGAGCTAAAGTCACTTCCTCTGGGAAGTCTTTCTTGATCTTTGGTTAACCTCTCCTCTGTGCTCAGAACTCTTACCTACAAATATCTCTATCATAGACTTATCATTCTTATAAATATTTGGTTTGTTCCCCCATACAGTGTGTAAGAGAATGCCTAGTATACAGTTGACACTCAAAAACAGTTTGCAAACTATGTGTTACATAGTAAACAATAGAGATTATCAACTAACATTATTCTTTGACTTCTGTCAATAATATACATACAACTGTGACTTTTCACCTAAGCGTTATAAGCAAATTCATATTCTCAAAGACCTACATGCAAGTCAAAATGAACACATCCAAACCTTATTTAACTTATCCAAGAAACTACCTGGGCCTTGTCCTGAGTCCCTGCCTCTTCAGGGGACCAATACCTACAAGGAAAAAGAAGGTTTTAAGCATTTTGAAACCAAGTAGAATAATGTTACACATGGTTCACTTTTACTGAAAACACTATAATCACCTACCACTATTGTAATCATGCACTCCGTCTCCTCTTAAATCAAACTAAACAAGCTAAGGATTATGCAATGGCCATTTTATAATTTTGAAATAAAATAACATAAATGACAGCAAAACAACAGGAAAAATCCCAAAGGTGTCCCATCAAAAAAAAAAAAAAAAAGTATTTGCTGCACTGAACTATTAAGGTTCTATACATGTGTGAAAGCAAAGAATCATATATCAGCCTAAAATGATTTAGAGTTCTACTTCTAAAAGTTTCTTTTTTAAGTTGATTTATTTTGAGAGAGAAAGAGAACATGAGTGGGCGGGGGCGGGAGGGGCGAGAGAGAGAATCCCAAGCAGGTTCTACACTGTCAGCATGGAGCCAGATGCAGGGCTTGAATTCATGAACCATGAGATAATGACCTGAGCTGAAATCAAGAGTTGGATGCTTAACTGACTGATCCACCCAGGTCCCCTTAGACTTCTACTTCTAACTTGTAGTCTTGCTTCAAATCTTAAGTGGAAAAGTATAATCTTCCCATTTAAGCATGAGGGTAAATACTTTGTAAATTCCCTAGAACAGGTTGATAAATTCTATTTCTAGTTGGTAGAAAGAGTTATAAGGAAGGGATATTACATTTTGTCATTGTTTTTCATCTTTTGAGATAATTGCAAACTTTTGGTATTGGCTAATATGGTGAATTACACTAATTGATTCTGAATGTTAAATCAATCTTGCATTCTAGAAAAATTTTGGTCGTGATATATGATGGACTTTTATATTGTTGGATTTGATTTGCAAATATTCTATTGAGAATTACTGCATTTATATTAACAAGGGCTACTGGATTGCAATTTATTTTTCTTGTAGTATCTTTGGCAGGTTTTGCTGTTAGGATAATGCAGGTAATGAGTTATCTATTCCTTTTCAATTCTTAGAAACAGTTCATGTAAGACTTTGTGCAAGATGGAGGCCTGATTCACTTAAATCTCACACATTTCCAGAAGTGCCTGATTTTCTGACTGGCCCTTGGCTAGCTCTTGGGAACTGAATTCTTAGAATGTACCGATAAAAGCTGTCTAGACACTTTGTGCAAGGTATTCACCTGCTTTTGGTAACTATAGTTGGTCATGCAGGCAGTATGTGACTCGTCCCCAGTAAAACCCCTCAAATTATTAGGCTCAGGAAAGTTTCTGTTAGACAACACCTACACATATTGCTGTAATTCATGCTGGTAAATTAAGTGCATCCTCTCAGACACCAATGGGTGAGCATTCTTAGAAACTGATACCTGTTTTTTTCCACACTTTGCCTAATGGATCTCTTTCTCTTTTGCAGATTTTTGCTGTATATCCTTTTGCTGTTAAAAAAAAAATGTAGCTATGAGTAAAATGATTTTGAGTCCTGTGGATCCTTCTAGCCAATCACTATCCCTGGAGAGAGTCCTGGGGAGCCCCAACTCAGTGTGACAGTAGGGGACATCAATGAATACTAGTATTATTTTTACTTAAATGCTTGGCATTATTCACCAGTGGAGCCATCTGGGGTTGAAATTTTCTTTGAGGGAAATTTTTTGTTTCCCTTGTAATTAACAGACTTTATTTTTTAGAGCAATTTTATGTTTATAGAAAAATTTAGCAAAAAGCACAGAGAGCTCCTGTATAGCATTGCCCGCCACCCCCAACATTTCTCCCTATTGTTAATACCATGCACTAGTGTGGTTCAGTTTTTACAATTCATGAATGAATCATGATACATTATCCCTAAGGCTGATAGTTCACATTAGGGTTCACTCTGTGTGTTATACAGGTCTGTGGGATTTGACAAATGTGTAACATCAGGTACCAACGGTTACAATATCATACAGAATTCTTTCTCTGCCCTAACAATGCGCGCAGAGCGCCTAGTGGCTCAATCAGCTAAGCGCCCAACTTTTGATTTTGGCTCAGGTCATGATCTTGGTTTGTGAATCTGAGCCTCGCACTGAGTGTGGAACCTGCTTGGGATTCTCTCTCTCCTTCTCCCTCTGCCCTTCCTCTGCTCGCTCTCTCTCTCAAAATAAATATATAAAGATTTTTAAAAATCTCCTATGCTCTACCTATTCATCTTCTCCTCTTTCCCTCACTCCAAGTCTGCTGGCAATCACCAATCTTTGTACTGTCTCTATAGTTTTGCCTTTTCCAGAACTCATATACTTGGAATCATACAGTATGAAGCCTTTGCAGATTGCCTTTTCACTTAGCAGTATTTATTTAAAGTTCCTCAATGTCTTTCTGAAGCCTAATAGCTCACTTCCTTTATCACTGAATATATTCCATAGTATGGCTGTATGACAATTTGTTTATCCATTCACCTATTAAAGGACATTTTCAATGCTTCCAGGTTGTGGCAGTTATGAATAAAGTTGTTATAAACATTTGTGTGCAGGTTTTTGTGTAGATATACTCTCATTTGACTTGGATAAATAGCAAGAGGTAGAATTGCTGAGTCATATTTTAAGACTGTTTAGCTTTTTAACAAAATGCCAAACTGTCTTCCAAAGTGGCTGTACCATTTTGCACTCCACCAGCAAAATGAGAATTTCTGTTGTTCCACATCCTCATCAGCACAGGGCATCGTCAGTGTTTTTTATTTTACTCATTCTATTAGGTGCATAGTAGCATTTCATTGTTATTTAAACCTGCAATTCCCTAGTAACATATTATATTGAGCATCTTTTCATATGCTTATTTGCCATCAGTATATCATCTTTGGTGAGGTCTCTGTTCATATCTTTTGCTCATTTTTAAAGAATTCGATTGTTAGAGTTCTTAAGTCTTAAGAGTTCTTTTTATATTCTGGATATAAGTCCCTTACAAGAGAATGTGTTTTGCAAAGATTTTTCTCCCAGTCTATGGCTTAGCTCTTCAGTCTCTTAATTGTTTTGCATAGATAAGTTTTCCATTTTAATAAAATCCTACTTATTATTTTTTCTTTCATGGATTGTGCTCTATCTCCTTTGTTCTATCTCTTATTCTCTATCTCTTTGTGTTGTATCTCAAATATCACTACCAAACCCAAGGTTACCTAGATTTTCTCCTATCTTCTAGAAGTTTTATAATTTTGCATTTTATATTTAGGTCTATAATCCATTTGCAGTTAACTTCTAGAAAAGGCGTAAGGTCTGTGCTTACAGATTCATTGTTTTGCATGTGGATGTCCAGTTATTCCAGTACCATTTGTTGAAAAGACTATCCTTACTCCATTGAATTATATTTGCACCCTTCCCAAAGGTCAGTTCACTCTATTTGTGTGGACCTGTTTCTGGGGTCTCTAATCAAGTTTTATTGATCTATTTGTCTTTTTGCCAATATCACACTGTCTTCATTACTGTGACTTGTATTACTGTAAGTCTTGAAGTTGGGTAGGATCATCTCTCCTACTTTGTCCTTCTTCATTATTTGTGTTGGACATTCTGGCTTTTTGGCTTTTCATATAAATCTTATAATCCGTTTACAAATAACCACAAAGTAACTTGCTGGGGTTCTGACTGGGATGCCATTGAATTTACAGATCAAACTGAAAAGAACTGACAACTTCAAAATATTAAGTCTTAATATCCATGAACAGACGATCTCTCCATTTATTTAATCCTTTGATTTCATTCATCAGAGCTATGTATTTTCCTCATACAGATCTTACACATATTTTGTTAGACTTATACAAAATAGGCTACAAAATTTTGTTAGACTTAGTTCTGTATTTCCAT